TCTGTTGAGGTAGATTTAATTGTTTTAGTAGATTTTATGTCCATTGACTTGGAAAAAATACGTACTACTAAAACAACACCCTAAACAAGTGTGAGTTTATAATGAGCAAATATTCCCTACTAAAATATATAGAATGTCAAGATAGAAATACACATCAAATAGCAAAAATTACGTGAAATAAATCAATTAAAATGTAACTTGTTTCGGCGGACCATAGCCTCAGGTGCCGAATTCCTAATATGTTGTAGCGTGAGCGAAGAAATAAAACAATCTGATAACACTTAATCATAGAGGCTAGGGAAGAACAAATCGTTTAATAACAATCTGATAGCAATCAATGTTCAATATATATAACACATAATAGGGCGTTTTTGGTTCACGACAGTTCCTTCGATTCCTCCGTTTCATTCTCTCCACCGTCGGGCTCTTCCATTGCAATCAGTCCTATTTTAAATCTATCTTGTGTGACTCATTGAAATGAGTGAAAAATATTGGTGTCCTAAATAAAACTTAAAAAGTTTCGGCTGGGTACGGTGATACTTTAATTAAGAAACACGTTTTTGGTTCATGTGGAACTGAGACGTCTCTTTAAATATTTATGACAAACAATCTGTTATCTTAGATCGTTTTCAGATTTCCCTTTTTTCTAGAATGTCATTCTTCTAAACACATCTGTTTCTCTTCCAATCTGTATCTTCCCAGGGGGTTTCATGTATCTTCCCTCTAATTTGATACTATGTATTTCTTAATTTTGTTAAATGTATGTAAATTTAATACCATTTCTAATAATTTCTAATTCTAATTGGTCGCGAATATATAAATGTATCTTCATTTCACTACTCTCTCATCGTCACTAAACCTAAAGATACATAACTAATAAAACAACGAATGCAATATATTCTTTCTGTGTGGAGAGGTGGTACTAAAGACACGTCAATTAGTTCGCTTGCTGCCACGTGAAATCGTGGTGACGGTATGATCGATTGATGGTTTTAGTTTAGTTCCGACAAAGGTGTTTTCGTCATATTGGCTGTTGGGGAAGGATAAGGTTAAAGCGTTAAAAAACACCAGCAGGGGGGGGGGGGAGGGGGGGGGGGGGGGGGGGGGGGCTTGTCACGTCAATTCTTAACAGACCCAGTTTGAAACAAAATAGAAAAGTTACCGACCGTAAGAGTTCTCACTGGGTAAATGGATACCCTAGTGTATTACAGGTAGCGGTACAAGTAAAGCACCAACGATAGTGGTTTTTGGGGGGGGTTTTTTTTTTCTTTTTTTTTTTATTTTTTTTTTTTTTTTTTTTTTTGCTGTAGCAGTAGCAGTTAAACATGTACTAATGAAACAGGGCCTTAACGTCATTCATGTATCGACAAGCTTTAACGGCATGTTCGTAGTCCTTCTCTTCCTCCACTCGAGACTAACTATTTCAGGAACACTGTATACTCCAAGTAGGGCCCTATTTCCTGGGTTTATAGTTAATGAAACTCTTTAATTATAAATGTCGTAATCATATACATATGCTCTGGGGAGTAATCTCCCCCCCTCCTTGGAGGAAAACTTACACTCACAGAGTTTTGTAATCATTAAATGGGTTTACATTTTAAATACTAAACCATCTATTAATATAACGGGGGTTAGAATTTTAACACTGTGGACAGGTGGGCCGGGGTTAACGCGTGTATTCTGGAGTATTCCACTTTACACACTCTCTTGTCTCTTCATGTAGATTGGAGACGTTTATAAAGATGCGCAGTGTTAGATCTCACATTTTCCCATTTTGAAGCTTCTAACCTCACCGTCAGCTTGTTTCCTAGCGTCCCGGAAGGGTAACGGAGGGGGGAGACTGGGATAACTATCATCAATACTAATAATTTCAAGATGTGTGTGTGTGTCTGTGTGAAATTTCCGAACGGCTTAAGCCTTAATCAAGAAAACTGTAAGAGTTACGGGGCTGGTTTTTGTTCGGTATAGTGCCGAGAAAACTCTGACGAAGCCAAATGATAAAGGTTTTTTAAATCGGTCGGTGGTAAGTGGTTTAATTGATCATTTTGTGACCCGAATGTGATAATAAAGTGTGTGTGTGTGTGTGTGTGTGTACTCTCTCCCTCTCTCCCTCTCTCCCTCTCTCCCTCTCTCCCTCTCTCCCTCTCTCCCTCTCCCCCGCTCCCGCTCTCCCGCTCCCCCGCTCCCCCGCTCCCCCGCTCCCCCTCCTCCCCCTCTCCCCCTCTCCCCCCTCTCCCCCTCTCCCCCTCTCCCCCTCTCCCCCTCTCCCCCTCTCCCCCCTCTCCCCCTCTCCCCCTCCCCGCTCTCCCGCTCTCCCGCTCTCCCTCTCTCCCTCTCTCCCTCTCTCCCTCTCTCCCTCTCTCCCTCTCTCCCTCTCTCCCTCTCTCCCTCTATCCCTCTCTCCCTCTCTCTCTCTCTCTCTCTCTCTCTCTCTCTCTCTCTCTCTCTCTCTCTCTCTCTCTCTCTCTCTCTCTCTCTCTCTCTCTCTCTCTCTCTCTCTCTCTCTCTCTCTCTCTCTCTCTCTCTCTCTCTCTCTCTCTCTCTCTCTCTGTCTCTCTGTCTCTCTGTCTCTCTCTCTCTCTCTGTCTCTCTGTCTCTCTGTCTCTCTGTCTCTCTGTCTCTCTGTCTCTCTCTCTGTCTCTCTCTCTGTCTCTCTCTCTCTCTCTCTCTCTCTCTCTCTCTCTCTCTCTCTCTCTCTCTCTGTCTCTCTCTCTCTCTCTCTCTCTCCCTCTCTCTCTCTCTCTCTCTCTCTCTCTCTCTCTCTCTCTCTCTCTCTCTCTCTCTCTCTCTCTCTCTCTCTCTCTCTCTCTCTCTCTCCCTCTCTCTCTCCCTCTCTCCCTCTCTCTCTCTCTCCCTCTCTCCCTCTCTCTAAAGTGAGGAGACAAACAAAACAACCACAATTATTGTAAGAAAAGGACACCTTGCAATGAAACAAAAGTGACAAGTTAGTAAAATGTGTAAAGGATGTGTAAGATATGTGGCGTAACAAAGGAGAGTTTCCGAGAAACAACCGACATAAGCCATTTTAAGACAAATTCACGTTGAACAGTCAAACCACGAATTGGTTTCAAACCACGAGTTGAAGGAGATTCTAGATTAGCCGGGTAGATTTTTATACCTCAGGAGTTTTAAATCTAATTAATTAATTAATTAGTTGTAAATTTAATTAATTAATTAATTAATTGTAAATCTAATTGGATACTTGTCTTTAATATCCTCGCATTATAGCTTTCATAATACAAATAAAATCACTTTTTAGTATACTAATAAAGTTTAGTTGTGTGTAACCTGCTGCTAGGCTACTCTATAGTTTATTAATTAAGTTTAGTTGTGCGTGACCTGCTGCTACGTGACCAACTAATGACAACTATTTTGGCTATTAACCATCATACAGTATGACGTATGTACTATGTACTATGTAAGACTATGTAAGACTTACCAAATTTGCTAATATCGTTTAAGTCTTTTTTTTTTTATTGAAATCTTTCAATTATTATCATCAGAATTTATTACAATATCAATGTTGTATAGAATTTCTAAAAATGGACTAGAGAAACCAAAAAATGCCTTGACAAGTGTACAGCGATGATAACAATCAGGGGACACCAATACACCCAAATAACTAAACAAAAGGCCTCGAGAGACCTGATGAAAAGTCGAGCAATTACATTGGGCCCCAAGTGCAGAAGGAGAAAAATGGGCAAATAATATGAGCTGTGAGCTTAGGAGGCATTTCTAGGTTTTTAAGAATAATTGCCACAACCCAAAAATTCTCAATTACAATTGGCTGATTTGTAATATTTCCAATGGAATGAAGTTTTAACGATAAAATTTAAATAATTGAATATAAAAGACTAAATCAAAATTGTATCCGAATAAAGCAAAAATGCGTGATGAGTACCTCAAAAAAAAATAAAAACAAAAATAATAGAGAAATACACTACCCGTAGTCTGGAGAAAAAGAATTGTCAGGATCTGAACTAGGGTCAATATCTACAGATGCAGTACAAACATGTTCCTTCCAGATGTGTTTAATAAGTTCTGTTTTAAACACACCTGGTCTGATAATCTCTCGAAGGGAAAGAGGAAGTCGGTTCCAAGTGAGATGAGCTCGATAAAAGTAAGATTTAGATATAGCTGAGCCATGTGAAATTGAAGATATTACTGATAAGTGATCAAGATGTGAGCTTCTCAGTCGGCTTGACCCGGAGAAGAAAGTAAGGTACTGAGGCAGAGTGGTGCATGGGTGGTATTGATGCACTAGGGAATGAAAGAACTTGAGATCATGGTAATCAAACCTGTACTTTAGGGGCAGAATATTTAACTGTTTACAATGGGCATTATAGATTTCCTCTACACTATAGCTTACACCGTAATCATTACGAATCCATTTGAGGGCCCTTTTCTGCAATCCTTCAAGCCTATTGATAGTGCTACTGGACGCTGGTCGCCAGATGATGGGACAGTGTTCGAATATTGAGCGTACAAGAGTAAGATACAAGACTCTTCTCTTGTTCAGATCATTAATAAAATGACAATTTCTCTTAAGCATGCCAAATTTTTGGTTAGCTTTACCATATAGAGCATCGGCCTGGCTATTAACATGACTTTCATAACTAAGCTAGTCAAAGATATTGGCCTATAATTCTTAATGTCATTCTTGGAGCCTTTCTTGTGTACTGGAACAACAATTGCATATTTCCAATTTGAAGGTAGGAAGCCGGATACATAGCACTTTGTGAAAAGAATCTCCAGTGCTGGGGCTAACGTAAAGGCACATTTTTTAAGAACTTCACCATGGATTTTATCCGGTCCCATAGCTTTTCTAGTATTCAAATTCTTGAGAATATCTACTATCCTAGACGAACTGAAAAGGGTAGATACATAATCAATATCATCCTGTGTGAGTGTGTTATCAACATGTACATCATAATCACTAGGCGATGAGAACTGTTGATGAAAAAAGGTATTAAATAGGTTTGCTTGGTCAGAATGATCACTTTTGTGTACATCTTCTAGGTGAATCTGTTCAGGTATGCGAGTATTCTTAGATGTTGCTTTTACATAGGACCAGAATTTCTTTGTAATTAGATTCGAATCATCCTCGTCCTCAAAGCTAGATGCCATCTTGTTGGAGGCAATTTTCTTAAAATCGCTTCTGCTTTTAGAGAACTTAAAGTACTTCTCAGCCTTGCAGGAAGGGTCCGTGGTTTCTTTATAACTTTTGTGTAGCCTTTCTTTTTCTAGGCAGGCCTGATGAGACTCAGCGTCAAACCAAGGAGGTTGAGCCCTGCCTCCAATTTTAATCTTTGGAATATGTTCATTGGTTCTTTGCTCTAAAACCTCCTTAAACTTGTTCCATGATGTTTCCATATTACCAGTGAACTCTGCCTGCCAGTCAATATCTGCAAGGTCTGCATTAAGTGCATCCCAATTTGCTCTTTTAAAATTTAAAGATTCCCTCTTTTGCGATTTGATGCGCTTCACCTTTGATTTCAAAGTAAAGGAGACTGCAAAATGGTCGGACTTACATGGAATATTATGTTCTGAAATTTTTATATCGGAGATAAGATGGGGTTTATCGGTTAAGACTAGATCAAGAATGTTTCCTCCAGTATGTGTTGGACTGGTAATAAGTTGTTCTAAACCAAAGTTACTAAAAGTATCTAGAAAGAGCTGTTCAACCGGATTGCTGCTACAGTAATTCTGCCAATCAATACCAGGTAGATTAAGATCCCCTGCAATTACAATACCTCTAACACCTCTACGTTGCCTTGCCTTCCTAACATAATCTTGGAAGGCGTTATGATTGTTGGCCCCTAAAGTACCTACCCTATAGAAGCTGCAAAGAATAAGTTTACTACCGTCCCTAAATTTGAACATCTGTTTTACTAATGTATTTCAATAGCTAGCAATTAACTGACTGACTGACTGACTAACTAACTAACTAACTAACTAACTAACTAACTAACTAACTAACTAACTAACTAATTAACTAACTAACTAACTAACTAACTAACTAACTAACTAACTAACTAACTGACTAACTAACTGGCTGACTAACTAACTAACTAACTAACTAACTAACTAACTAACTGACTAACTGACTGACTGACTAACTAACTAACTAACTAACTAACTAACTAACTAACTAACTAACTAACTAACTAACTAACTGACTAAAAAACTAATTAATTAACTAATTAACTAACTAATTAGTTAATTACTCACTGTCACTGGGTTGACGTTGGTATCTCAGCTCAGGTTGTGCGACTTCTGTCTCTGTCTCCTTTCTCATCCTGAAAGCACAGCTTAATGTTAAAACATTCTCTATTATAGCCCAACATATAACATATATGACATGTTACCAAATACTAGAGAGACATATTGTAATATTATTGGTAATATAATATAAATATTACAACACTAGTTAATAGTTATGTAATGTAATCAATACTATAATTCATGCTAAAAAACTGACTACCAAAGAATACTATCAGCTTCCTCCCTGTGACCACTGGCTTTCTAGTCATTATTATAATTGAAAGATTTATTTCTGTATGTCTGTCTGTCTGTACGACCGCCCAAGTTCAAATCAGATGAGAAATAGGAAGTAGCATAGTAACCATGGTGATGGTGTTCAAAAGCGCACGTACGTGCACGTGCAAAGATTTGCGAGCGACATTTTTATCGGTTTTGTGGTAATTACGTTGTGTTCAGTGCGAGCTACATTTTAATCGGCTGTATCTTCGGTTGTGAGGGATATTTTTTGATGCGATAAAAACTGACTACCAAAGATTACTATTAGCTTCCTCCCTGTGACCACGGGCTTTCTAGTATATTAATAAACTAGTTATACAGAATGTAGTTTACATAATGTACCACTAGTTGGAGGTGGTATATATACACAGCTCAATAAGAAGGGACTGTGGTTATGTAGTAACTAGTTTAACACTACTAGTGTAGTTATGTAGTAATACTCTCAATGAGATTACTGAGGGTACGTGTCACGAGATTAACACATCCCATTTGTCATTTCCCAAACCACAAAATGAATAAAGTAATGTGAAAATAGATCTCACACAGATAAATCATATCCCTCCTGGCTTACTGTTGCCAGGGTTACTATTGCCAGTGTTACTGTTACCAGGGTTACTGTTGCCAAGGTTACTGTTGCCAGGGTTACTGTTGTCATGGTTACTGTTGCCAGGGTTACTGTTGCCAGGGTTACTGTAACCAGGGCCGGGTTACTGTTGCCAGGGTTACTGTTACCAGGGTTACTGTTGCCAGGGTTACTGTTGCCAGGGTTACTGTTACCAGGGTTACTGTTACCAGGGTTACTGTTACCAGGGTTACTGTTACCAGGGTTACTGTTGCCAGGGTTACTGTTGCCAGGGTTACTGTAACCAGGGTTACTGTTACCAGGGTTACTGTTACCAGGGTTACTGTTGCCAGGGTTACTGTTGCCAGGGTTACTGTTGCCAGGGTTACTGTTGCCAGGGTTACTGTTACCAGGGTTACTGTTGCCAGGGTTACTGTAACCAGGGCCGGGTTACTGTTGCCAGGGTTACTGTTGCCAGGGTTACTGTTGCCAGGGTTACTGTTGCCAGGGTTACTGTTACCAGGGTTACTGTTGCCAGGGTTACTGTTGCCAGGGTTACTGTTACCAGGGTTACTGTTACCAGGGTTACTGTTACCTTTACCTAGTCTCATGTATAATTAACAAGCTGGTGTCCGAATATTGATAATAAGAATTTTCTAGATCAGCCATATTACAAAACCACGTGTATTTGTGGCAGAATAGCAATACCGGCAAAGCTATTCTAAGAAAACAACATATTCCAAGGATTTCAGCAACTTTCGTGGTAAATATCATATTGGGTTCGTAGTATGAGGGACCACGCCATTTTTTATAAAGAATGTGTGAGAATTAGGAGGTGTAATGAGTTGGACACACTCCAACATTCTTAAATTGTAGGGTACAAATACAATATAGGTCCAGCGTAATGTAATTACTAGAAAATAGTGAACTTTATAACTGTTTAAAACGGCTGGAGGCGGGCGGGGGACTGGTGGTAGTGACTAGTGGTGTTGGTGGTGGATGTGGTGATGGTAGTGGTGGTGGTGGTAGAAACTTAACGAGAGGTATTATCTTCTCAACAGTAGAATCCCAGTTGATACTCAAACAGGGATTAAACAGGAACTAGCTAAACTGTAAAGGTATCCAGGGTATCCAGGCCAGGTACAGTAGTAACAGTAGTAACAGTAGGCCTACAGAGTACAGAGCAGCTATTATCATGTATTGTCACAGAGGGGCCAGCAGAGGGGCCAGCAGAGGGGCCAGCAGAGGGGCCAGTAGAGGGGCCAGTAGAGGGGCACAGTAGAGACTAGAGGACCACGTGTTTTAGCTTGGTAGTAAAGTAGGTAGTCCTCAGTAACACCTTCAACAATCAGCACGGCGTCCTATTTCCTGCCCTCTCTATTGTAGTCCTCTCTCAGCAATCTCCTGTCTCATGAATATAATCTCCTGTCTCCTGTCTAATGAATATGTATTAACAATATAAAGAGGGAGGAACATGTTAATTAACATGTTCCTTTCACTAATTGACTCAGCTTCTGTATCTAATCACATAATCTCCCTAAAAACAATAAGACCCACAGTTCAGGTGAAGCAATAAGTATCTCCTGAACTGTGGGTCTCCTGATTCTCGCTCTCTGTTCATTATCTACACTGCTCGCTCTGTCCGGCTCTTCGGTAGTGGTCTAGTGTCCAGCTAGTTGGTCTAGTGTCCAGCTAGTTGGTCTAGTGTCCAGCTAGTTGGTCTAGTGTCCAGCTAGTTGGTCTAGTGTCCAGCTAGTTGGTTTTAAAGTTCTGTGTTGAAAGCTACTGGCATAGATTTTTATGCCCCCCCCCCCCCCCCCATTTGTGAAAATTGTGTGGAAGCTACAAACTTTGCGTAGTGCGGAAAACGACTTTTAGTGCGAATATGTGCGGGAACCGGCTTAAAGTGCGATTCTGCACCCGCCGCACTTTTATGTCGTAGTATGATGGTATCTCAATATTATTGTGGAATGTTACTAATTAAGCAGAATACATCCATTATTCCTAATAATAATGTAATGCTTCTAGTATATACTGTTCCTATCACTGTTTTTTAATACATATATACAATATACATGACATGATATAGCATATTATATATAGCTGATATAGCTGATCATACAAACACAACCCAAACTAAACCTATAACTTGCATTGTCTGAATGTTTGAAACTTTCCTATTTAGACACAATGATAAAGTTGCCGTTATTGGTTCTTCTCTGCATCCCTTTATCTCACTGTGGCAAGACTACTAGAAGGAGAGTAGCTGGAGAGATAGCACCAGTTAGTGCTACACAATCTCGCACTAAGGATGACAACGAGAAGGCGTACTCTGCTAACCATGCTATAGACCTGGATCTTGAAACAAAGGCTACAACATTAGCTGATGGTAAAGATGAGCTCTGGTTTAAATTAGCTCTAGACCAGGTATATTGTGTTGAACAATTGATTAGGTATATCGGTGATGGTACTGCTAAACAAACCTGGCTCTGTCCTGAGAAGGCCTCGTGTACCTGTGAGGGGGTTGATTGCGGGAAATTCACCCTCACAGTGTACATAAAGGGGGGATCTTCTGACAACCTTGCCTCTATATCCGACTGTAAATATGGGGATAGGATCAAGATGGTGAAAACACAAGGAGGAAGCTTTGCTTTAAATGAGATAGCTATAATCGGGGGAAAAGGTGATTTATCTTTTAGCTTACCTATTAAAATTTGCATTCAAAATCATTCCGCGGTATAACCAATTAACTTTAAACTTGTTACATTTGACACTAGTAGACAGTATAAGTAGTATGCATTTAACACAAATTTCTACTTTTCAGTTTGTTCTCCAGGTAATAATATGGACACCAATTCAAAGGAATGCAAGGAATGTGAAGCAGGAACATTCAGTGCTGCTGGATCTGCAACCTGTTCTAACTGTGAAGCAGGAACATTCAGTGCTGATGGATCTGCAACCTGTTCTGACTGTGAAGCAGGAACATTCAGTGCGGCTGGATCTGCAACCTGTTCTGAATGTGAAGCTGGGAAATACAGTGAAGTTGGATCTGCAACCTGTTCTGACTGTGAAGCAGGAACATTCAGTGAGGTTAGATCTGCAACCTGTTCTGACTGTGAAGCAGGAACATTCATTACTGTTGGATCTGCAACCTGTTCTGACTGTGAAGCAGGAACATTCAGTGAGGTTGGATCTGCAACCTGTTCTGACTGTGAAGCAGGAACATTCAGTGCTGCTGGATCTGCAACCTGTTCTAACTGTGAAGCAGGAA